GGCTGGAGCCCCGTTGAGCTGAACCCGCGCTGGTGCAAAAACCTCATCAAACTCACGAACTGGGGCAGGTGACACAGAGACACTGGAGACAGGGACACTGTTAGGGAAATCAATATATTTACAGTAGGGGGAATAAGTATTTGACCCCTTGCTGATTTTGCAGGTTTGCCCACTTACAAAGAATGCAACGATCTATAACTTTAATCATATGTACATTCTAACAGTGAAAGACAGAATCCCAAAGAAAATTCCAGAAAATCACATCATATGAATTTATAAAAATTGATAACCATCTGATGAGGAAAAATAAGCATTCTTTGTAAGTGGGCAAACATGATAAATCAGCAAGGGGTCAAATACTTATTTCCCCCACTGTATAATCACTTTCTTAATCACTTTCTTAATTTCTCTCTGGTAACTTTCCACAAGTGAATATTTTAAAGGTTTTTTTTTTCTTTCTCATGGGACTCATTCTTCCTTATAGGTCTCAGTGAGGGTCTCCTTATACTTTATCTCTGAATGTTTTGTCTGGAGGATTGTTTAATACAGGTTCAGAATGAAGGACAGACTTTACGTCTTATTTTCTAGACTCAGAGGGGTATAAAAGTATAAAATGTACCATGATTTAGTTTTATTTGGAGCAGTTTGGTGCGTCATATGAACCACTTGTATGGTCTCACCTCATGAAGTTTTCCCCTTCTCTTTTTCCATTTTAATACATTTCTATTTCTTACTTCCTAAGATGGACTCAGACTTTTTCCCTCAACGGTAGGACGTTTATTTTACCAGAATTTGGCCCGGTTTCTTGTTTTTGCCTCCTTTTCCTGGCAGCTCGCCCGGATCTGTGACTGGAGCCCCCCATGTCTCCCCCCGGCCGCCCGGATCTGTGGAGGGGAAAAAGATCTCTCAGATCCTGTATTATTTAAGAGTTAGGTCCAGATCTGCTGAGGATGTTTTCAGTTACTCTTTCTCCTGGCTATAATATGTGCAGATAATCGAAACTAAAGCCAAAAATAGTCATGTTAGACGCATGCAACTTATAATTGTCAACTATTATAAAGATACTGTCTTCAGAATTACTGCAGATGTTATGATGAACTGACCGGTGTATATTTCTACTCTTGTTTGTGTTCTTATTATTTCCTACTGTGATTTTTTTTAATGGTTTGTTCATAATGTAATGTAATTTTTTCATGTGTGGACCACAGGAAGACTAGTGGCCATTTATTTGGCAGCTAATGGGGATCCTAATAAAACTAAACTAAACTAAACATGCATCATTGCATTTTCTACCCGTTGCCTTTAATCGAAGAAACTAAACAGAAGATAACCTTAAACAACATATTTTTATCCCGTTTACTACAATAAAACTGATCTCTGTGAACCACTAAATACAACACAAATAATATATCATTTTGGCCCAATTTGTAGATAAAAACTATCTTCGCGTGGTTTCTAGTACGTTTAAACATGTCAAAATTGTCCTGTTCCCTCAATGTAACAAACCAAACTATTCATGTTAAAAATATGGCATTAAAAATTTAAAAATAAATCTTAAACACCGGAAAAATCTACACAAAACCGAACATGGCTAAACTACTTGTGTATAACAAAAATAACAGAAGATACCTTTTCGTTAGCCTCTGATAGTGTGTTCCGTCTCCA